GGGCAACTAAGCCCGCGTGCCACAACTACTGAGCTCGCACGCCAACTAGAGAGCCTGCGTGCTGAAACTACAGAGCCCACCCGCTCTGGAGCCTGGGCGCCACAACTAAAGAGAAGCCTGCATACCGCAATGAAAAATCCCGCGTGCTGCAACTAAGACCCAACACAGCCAATAAATAAATAAATAAATAAATATTTGCCTTGATCGGTTTTAAAAAAAAAGAATTGGATTACATATTTGCAAATCATATATCTGATAAGAGACGTGCATCTAGACTACACCAAAAACTTTTACATCTCAATACTAAAAGGACAATAAAATAACACAATTTAAAAATTGGCAACTGATCTGAGTAGAAATTTCTCCCGAGAAGCTATACAAATGGCCTATAAACTTATGAAAAGAGGTTTATCCTCATTATTCACCAGGGAAATGCAAGTCAAGACTACAGTGCAGTTGTAGTTCATAACACTAGGATGACTAGAATAAAAAATCAGATAAAAGCAAGTCTGTGTAGGGGAGTTCCCAGGTGGTCTAGTGGATAGGATTTGGCACTTTCACTGCCGTGGTCCGGGTTCAATCCCTGGTCGGGGAACTGAGCTCCTGTAAGCCACGTGGCATGGCCAAAAACAAAAAGTGTGTGTGAGGATGTGGAAAAATAGGAACCATCATACACTTCTGGTGAGGATGAAAAATTGTGAAGCCACTGTGGAAAAAAGTCTGGCAGTTCTTCAAAATATTAAACATAGAGTTACCATGTGAATCACCAATTTAATTCCTAGGTAAATACCCAAGAGTAACGAAAACACGTCCAAGCAAAAGTTATACATGAATGTTTATAGCAACGTTATTCACAATATCTAAAAGGTGGAAACAATCCAAATGTCCATCACCTGATGAAGGGATAAAGAAAATTGATACAAAACAAAAATATTCCATACAAGGGAATATTATTCAGTCATAAAAAAGAATGAAGTATTAATACATGCTAAAACATGGAAGAACTTTTTAAAATAAATTTATTTCATTTATTTATATTTGGCTGCATTGGGTCTTCATTGCTGCGTGCGGGCTTTCTCTAGTTGCAGTGAGCGGGGGCTACTCTTCGTTGCGGTGTGTGGGCTTCTCATTGTGGTGGCTTCTCTTGTTGTGGAGCACAGGCTCTAGGTATGCCGGCTTCAGTAGTTGTGACTCGTGGGCTCTAGAGCACAGGCGCAGTAGTTGTGGTGAACAGGCTTAGTTGCTCTGCAGCACGTGAGATCTTCCTGGACCAAGCCTCAAACCTGTGTCCCCTGCACGGCAGACTGACTCTTAACCACGGTGCCACCAGGGAAGCCCATGGAAGAACTTTGAAAAACATTATGTAAAGTGAAAGAAATCAGTCACAAGAGGCCACATATTGTTTGATTCCATTTATATGGAGACAACAATAGATTAGTAGTTGCATGGCATTGTGGAGATGAAGGTATAGGGGGATGTTAGCTAAAGCATATGGGTTTCTTTTGAGTTGACGAAAGTCCTCTAAAACTGACTGTGGTGATGATCACTCTTATCTATGCATACACTAAAAACGACTGAATTGTACACTTTAAATGAGCGAGTTGTCTGTAATATGAATTATATTTCAATAAAACTGTTATTTCGTAAAAATGATAAGAATACTTTAAGAGGATCCAAAAGCTAACCTACGATAGCTCTCAATGCCCAAACACAGAACAATTTGAGCAACATAATAACATAATAGTATTTGATGAAATTAAAAGAGTGAGGGAAAAGGAACTGACCTAAAAAAAAAGGGAGCAACCACATGAATGAATCTTAAATGAATTTTCTAAGCCAAACCCCGGAGATACATATAATTCCATTTGACATTCTGAAAAGGGTAAAATTATAGAACAGAAGACAGATCAGAGAGTGCCAATGGTTGAGTGAGAAGGTGGGTTGAATAACCATGGTTGGGAATAAAATAATTATCCATACTGATATAAATAAATGATGTAATAAATAAATGCTGGAAATGAAAGTTTTCCCTTACAGGGGATTCCCAGTTAATAAACATAGAAGAAAGAGGTGAAATATAAAATCACCAATTGGAACACCACAGTAATAACTGTTGCAGGCAAGATCCACCAGTGAAAGCTAAAATTAGTGGCCAAAACTCTAAGTAGGAATAGTATATTTGCATAGCCTTAAAGGTTCTTGCCCCAAATTTACTACTAAATGTGGTGATTTAAAAATATGACCCTAAATTTGAGATGGAGCTTATTCCGCTCCCACTGAGTGCACTGGACTTAGTAACCCACCCCTAAGCATAGATTGGAAAGGGAAAAATCCTAAAGATATAGTGGAGAAACCTGTCAGACACCACCTTCACCAAGTAACCAAGGTTAATATAAGTTGTGTTGATATCATGTGTCCCCTCATATATAGGTAGGACACATCCTCTCTGTGGTATTCTTTCTAAAAATTTATAACCTCAGTCCAATCAGGAGAAAACATCAGACAAACTCAAGGTCAGGGACATTCTTCATAATATCTGACCACTATTCTTCAAACATCTGAAGGTAATGAAAGACAAGGAAAGACCACGAAACTATTGCAGATGGGACGAGACCAAACAGACTTGATGATTAAACGTACTGTGGTATCCTGGATTGAATCCTGGATCAGTAAAAGCGCATTAATGGAAAAACTGATGAACTCTGAATAAACTCTGTAGTTTAGTTGATACAATTGTACCCGTATCACTTTCTTAGTTTTGGTAAATGTACCATGGTTATGTAAAATGTTAACAATTAAAGGGACTTCCCTGGTGGTCCAGTGGTTAAGAATACGCCTTCCAATGTAGGAGACTTAGGTTTGATCCCTGGTGGGGGAACTGAGATCCCACATGCCACAGGGCAACTGAGCCCGCATGCGCGCGCAACTAGAGAAATCCTCACGCTGCAACAAAGGTCCCATGTGTGCCGCAACTAAGACCTGATGCAGCTGAATAAAAATAAATAAATAAATGTTAACAATTAGGTGAAACTGGGTGAAGAGTATATGGGAACTATCTTTGCAACTCTTCTGTAAATCTGAAGTTAGTAAAAAAAAGTTAAATAACTTGATCAAAAAGAGTTAACTACATATTCTTTTATGAAAAGTTCATCATAAAAGAGTACACCTATATGCTCATAATGTGCTAAAAATGTCATGAGGGTGCCCACATAAAAGAATGTATATTTGGTTCCAGGTAAAGCATTTCTGAGAGATGATAAAGTGCTTTCTTCGTAAGTTTGGTGTGTGAACAGTTTCTTACATAGGAACAGTTTTTATTATTAATACTTAATTGCTAGGTTGCTTTTTTCCTCATTCCGGAGAATAACTAGGCTGCTCACAGATATTATTTTAGTTTACATAGATTTATTGTCTAAACTATAGAAGATAAATTTATCAAAACTAAAATAACATCTGTCCACGTTCATAAATTAAATTCATGTACCACTTTGCTTCTCTTGGTTTGTGTCTAGTCGAAAACGCACACTGCTTTGACATACATCTCTGGGACACGGACAGAATCCAGGGTCCAGGTAGCAGGAGTGAATATATCAGATAGTAATATCTCAATCCAGTCAACAAGGCAGAAACTCTCCAGCTGATTTCTAAAGGAGTGCGCATGGCGTATACTGGGCAAGGTAATCTTAAGAAACGTACTGAACAATTTATGTGCCAGACGCCATCCTAAGTGCTTTTACAATGTAAACGCCCTTAATCTTCATAAAAACCGTTAGCTAGGTACTGTACTACTATTAGCTTACTTTTGTACAATTTAGGAGTGAGGCATTGCTTCTAAAGGTAGAGCCACTTTTCCAACCCAAGCTGCTAGAAGCCAACTTCCAACTCGCCGCCACCGCGCCACGCCGCTCCCTCCCTCTGCGCATGTGCATCCCCGCCTTCTCCTCCCGGCTCGTCCTTCCCCGGCCTCCAGCCCCTCGTGGGAAACAATCCGTGGCTTCCAGGTCCACGCGGCGAGGGAGCTGCGGGTGAGCCCCAGAGGGTGGGGGCGAGGGCCAAGGGGACCCCGCGCGGCTCGGGGAGCCGGCGGAGGCAGCGGTGCCGGGTGGTAGGTTGGAGCCCCGCGAACATCAGCAGGACCCCAGGAGTCTGCGGCGCCTGCAGAACTGAAGGGACTGCAGGCGGCGGCGCCTCAGCCTGGAGAGGCCGGAGTCCCGCGCGGGAACGCGGACTCCCGGGCTCTCTCAGTCCTCAGCTGTTCAGCCCTTGAGCTGAGCGGACGGCGCCGTCGTGTGGCCGCCCGTGGGGAGTGCGCGTGCGTGACGTGTGCGCTAGGCCCGCGGGGAGGGAGCGGGGTTGTCAAGGGGAGAGCGCGTGCGTGACGTGTGATCTGGGCTTGCGGGGAGGGGCGAGGAATGCGGGGAAGAGCGAGTGCGCGTGCGCGACGTGTGTGTGTGTGTGTGTGTGTGTGTGTGTGTGTGTGTGTGTGTGTG